ACCCATCCTTTGAACGCCCCCTACAGCCTCTGCAATCAGTCTAGAGGACATGCTGGTGCACAGCGAATGGTCACGTGAACATGGCTGGCGGGTGGCCAAGAGGCCCGGCGTCGACTACTTCCTGCGCTACCTCAGCCAATATTACGAGCTGGTTCTCTTCACGTCAGTCCCTTTCGCAATTGGCGAGCCCCTCGTTCGCAAGCTCGACCCCTTCCGCTTCATCATGTGGCCCCTGTACCGTGAGGCGACCAAGTACAACGACGGCGAGATCGTCAAGGTAGGTTATCCCCCCAAAGAACCATGACAGCGTTTCTCTTGCTAACAAGAGGACAGGACCTGTCTTATCTGAACCGTGACTTGTCCAAGGTCATCATAATCGACTCCAAGGCTAGCCACGTCCGCAACCAACCCGAGAACGCCATTGTGCTCGACAAATGGACCGGCGACTCCAAGGACAAGGATCTCGTCGGCCTCATTCCTTTCCTTGAGTATATCCACACCATGCAGTACGGTGACGTCCGCAAGGTCCTCAAGTCCTTTGATGGCAAGCACATCCCTACCGAGTTCGCCCGTCGTGAGGCCATCGCCCGCGCCGAATTCGAGAAGCAGCTGGCGGCTAAGGGCAAGAAGACCCCCTCCGGCATGGGCATGCTCGGCGGTATGCTCGGCCTCAAGCCTTCCAACATGGCTCTGATGCAATCCCCTGACGGCGAGCTGAGCCCCGCCGAGGCTTTCGCGCAGGGCAAGATGCTTCAGGATATTGCGCGTGAGCGTGGCCAGCGCAACTACGAGTTGCTCGAGAAGGAGATTAGGGAAAACGGTGCCAAGTGGCTGAAGGAGGAGGCGGATATGCAGGAGAAGGCCCAGCAGGAGGCCCTTAACAGCATGATGGGCTCCTTCTCGGGCTGGTTCGTCCCCTCCAAGACGGAGGAGAAGCCTGCCAACGGAAAGACGGCATAAAAAGAAAAAAAGGCCGCCACTAGAGACTGGGGCGCACACGACGAGCCTGGGACGCTGCTTGTTCATGGTCCACGATGGTATACTGGCCGACAGCGGCACGCGCCGGGGCCCGAAGGGACTCTCCTCTACTAATCTTGTGTACTCTACGCTACGGGGCAGGTGGGACGGCTGGGAGAGGTCGCATCTGCATATAGACTAACGGCGTGCCGACGAGCGCGCGTGTATGAATGTTGTATAGTAGGCTGTCAAGCCAATGTCATTCCATTGAATCATCTACAGTCGAGGTGACCGTGTGACCTCAGGATGTGATAAGGCCACTCTCGCTCAGCCATGTACTCGTTCAGGTCACGCAAGCACGCTCGCTCATACTATAGCCGCTCCTCCCACAGGCGGCGACCTCCAAAGCCCTCTACACCACTCGCAAAAGAATTTTGTCGTGCACTGGTAATATCTACCACGTGTCAGTTCGCTCGTCCCGCGGGCCGCGTGAAAGGTGAATGGACGTACTCCCAGAAACCTTCGCTCGTACTCTTGTCGATCTTGCTGCATTGGCACTCTGCTTTCCTCTTCGCGCAGAGGACAGGGTCGGGAGGCGGGATATGCCTGCCGCTGATGGCTTCAAAGTCGGCCGTGGCAGCGTGACGGCCAAGATCGAGGTCGTCTGTGGCTGGCGCCGCAAGCACGCTGGAGCTCAATGCAAAGACAATAAGTGATGCGGGACGCATTGTGACGATGGCAATTTTGCTGAACGACGGTGCAGCTCAGGTTTGTCTACTACGGAAGCTATGTTATGCGGATGCAAAGAATGGCGCCGGGCGAACACTGTCTCTTATACACGACGCCGAGCCCTCCAAGCACCGCAGTCACGTCCGTGAACCAGCAAGGCCTCACCGTTGCACGACCCCAGAGACTCTCGATGGGGCGCATGGCGAACCGCGTACCATCTGACGATTCGCCTTGCACACATGGCACAAGGCGAAGTTTCGACCCGGGCCGAGCCACTCCAGCCGGAGCCATCCCTTTCAAACCACATGGGCTGGCGTCTCGTTGGTATCAGATTGTCGTGTGTTGGCACAGTAGTACACGGATCGCCGTCGCCAACGGCCATTGTCTTGACCGCAAATGTCTTGGGTACAACGCCTGAAAAGTGTTGAATCTTGACAAACAGGAGGGCTGCTCGTACACGACGGTCACACGTACGAAGATGGCGAAACCAAGAAGCCTGTTTATAGGGTGGTTCACGAGGAACGACGGAGAAGATCGCTCGGAATGAACTATCTCTGCTGGGCTGGGACCTATATCTGCTTCGACACTCTGGGTGTTTCTTAAGGGGCATACAACCTCGATGCCATATTGTTGAGGTTTGTGGGTACGTGGGGAAGGATGGTTACGATGATCAAGCTACTTTACCCCTTCGAGGTGCCTGATTCATCGTCGATTTTCTTACATTTCCCATCTTCCAGCGATGAAGTGACAACCCATACGAAGAGCGTCATGGACATCATGACCATGCAGCACCTAGTATCACAAAGCTGCCCCGCAACGGTGCGACAAACAGAGGAGTCGCCTTTGTCGTCCGTCCCTCACCGCATCGAGCGTCTCAAGGTCAGGGTAGCTGTTGTGGCAAGCTGCCTCAACACTCTTCGCATCATGCCCCGGTGTCACAGATCACAGAGATGCACATGTCAACCTGCCAAACATGTACGAACGCAGTCGTCTGCGCCGTGCAACGCCGTCTCCAGGCCAAAAGACGCAGACGTGACGGTGACAAGAACGGAGAACGGCAATGCCGACTAGGGACGAAGGGTCATGGGTGCGACCTTGCAGCCGTGTCCGGCGTTCGTCGGTCGCACGAGAGCCTCACCGCTTTGTTCTCTCGCTAGAAGTCACCCCGTCGGTGGGCGAGGTGAATAGCAAAGACGACGATTGCATCATATCTAGCAGATGAGAGCTTTCGGGGTCATGTCCGAGACAGGAGAACAGAAAAAGGACAACGTCAAGTCTTGAAATAACGACGTGGTATTACACTGACACAAGCTGGTATCTGCTGTATCGCAAAGAGGCCCACTCTATGGCGCTTTCTTCGGCTTCTCCTCCTTCTGGCGAGCTCGGGGGGGGTATTTCTTTGGCTTTTGGGTGCATTTTCTATTTCGCGGTCTGGGGCATCTCTTCGGCTTCTCTTTCGGCTTTTTCTTTGTTTTTTTGTGTATCCTTTTTTGTTTCTTTTTTTTTGCCTTGTTCCCGTTTCTCGCAAGCCCA